AAAAAAAAAAAAGATTTCTTAAATAGTTCTCTAAGAGCACTAATCATAATTTAAAAGTTGATAAATTGTACTTTATTGACATTAAGAACTCTGTTTATCGAAAAACACTACAAAGAGAATGAAAAGACAAGCCACAAACTGGAGGAACATATTTACAACATGTATATCCAACAGAGGTCTCGGATCTAGGATCTTTAAAGAACGCCCATAAATCAGTAAGAGAAACAATCCCATCGGAAACGTCACATAAGAAGGCAGCAAATGGCCAATCGGCACATGAAGAGACACTTAGCATCACTGAATTCATAATTCAAGGGTGAATTAAAACCACAGAGACGCCACTGCACACCCACAAGAACGGCTGAAAGGTCAGCCGAGATGTGGAGCGTCCGGAGCCTAAATCCCCTGCGGTGGGGGTGGGGAGGGGGAGGGGGGAGGGGGGCGGGGGGGTCTGGAAATCGGTGTAGCCTGTCTAGAAAAGCCTCAGGCATTTCGTATAAATTGAGACATCTGCATACCCTACGACCCAGCTCTGCCGTGCTTGGCGCGTTTGTCCAAGAGAAATGAAAATACATCTGCAGAGGGTCTTCGTTCATAATCTGGAAACCACCAGCGGTGTGAAGAGCTTGCTGCTGATGCCTGCAACACCACACGTGGCTCTCAACGTCGTTCTGTTGACTGAATGAGCCCCCGGTGTGAAGCTGGAGGCGTCCACACAGGGGCGGGGAGGACAGGGCAGAGGCAGAGGGGTCTGGCCGACATGGTCTCCAGGGCAACATTTTGAGGGGTTGGAAGTGTTTGCATCTGGACCCAGGTGGCACCTGCACGAGAGCACCCGTGGGAGAATGGTCAGCTCTCCCAGCAGGGCTGTGCCCTTGGCTCGAAGTCCCAGGTGTAACCAGTGGGTGGCAGCAGCAGACCCCGCAAGGGCCTCGGTGGCACCTTCCGAGCTAGGGAGCTCTTTAGGGAACCAGAGGGCGGTTAGCTCGGTCTGTCCCCGTTCCTTCCTTGTTGAGGCGCCTGGGGTCGCCATGCGTGGTGTGCGTGTCGTCAGGACCAGAAGGGCAGGTGCTGTGTCCCTTTCTTGTCATCAGCATCTGGCGGGACAGTGCTTGTTCTCTGGCGATTATGAGGGTGTCTGGGACGGGGAGCTTGGCCAGGCCTTCACCTTAGGCTGGGGTCCCGCCTCCTCCCATCTGTCCTCTGCCCCCAGGGAGAAGCGACAGTTTTCCTATTGTGATGCACAAACTCACAGGGGAGACAGTGGGGACCCTTCCCTGAGGGAAGATCAACCCCTGTCTTCTTCCGGAGCCCAAGTCGAGATTGCGTTTGCTGGTCTCCTGGGCAGCTCTGCCCCTGGCCATCAGGCTGGGCTCTCAGGGACCTGCCTCATTTCTCACGGCATCCGGGCCGGTCTCTGCTGCCGGGCGGGAGGGTTACAGACAGCTCGGGACTCACACCTGCTTCCGCCAGGTCCTGTCTTCTCCCTGGGGTCAGGTAGAGCATGTGCACCACCAAGGTGGGCCAGGGGGCTCCGGGGGCTCCCCTTCTGTGTGTCCTGTTAGAACCAGGGGGCGAGGCCCCGTCTGACCCGTCACCCACGTTCCCTGCACCAAAGGGGGCTCCTGCTTCCTCACGCCCCAAACTCTGCACCTCGGTATGGGGGCCTCTCCCCCACCATAGGCGACCCCACTCGTTGCTTCTCCCTCCCTGTTGCCCCGCCTTCCCAGCAGGGTGGGCACAACATTGTGCACAGACCTCCGTGTCCCAGAAAGCTTTTTCCCCACGCCAGGGCCATCCCCGCAAGTGGTGGCAGGTGGCCTCGGAGCCCAGCATAAATTGAGACATCTGCATACCCTACGACCCAGCTCTGCCGTGCTTGGCGCGTTTGTCCAAGAGAAATGAAAATACATCTGCAGAGGGTCTTCGTTCATAATCTGGAAACCACCAGCGGTGTGAAGAGCTTGCTGCTGATGCCTGCAACACCACACGTGGCTCTCAACGTCGTTCTGTTGACTGAATGAGCCCCCGGTGTGAAGCTGGAGGCGTCCACACAGGGGCGGGGAGGACAGGGCAGAGGCAGAGGGGTCTGGCCGACATGGTCTCCAGGGCAACATTTTGAGGGGTTGGAAGTGTTTGCATCTGGACCCAGGTGGCACCTGCACGAGAGCACCCGTGGGAGAATGGTCAGCTCTCCCAGCAGGGCTGTGCCCTTGGCTCGAAGTCCCAGGTGTAACCAGTGGGTGGCAGCAGCAGACCCCGCAAGGGCCTCGGTGGCACCTTCCGAGCTAGGGAGCTCTTTAGGGAACCAGAGGGCGGTTAGCTCGGTCTGTCCCCGTTCCTTCCTTGTTGAGGCGCCTGGGGTCGCCATGCGTGGTGTGCGTGTCGTCAGGACCAGAAGGGCAGGTGCTGTGTCCCTTTCTTGTCATCAGCATCTGGCGGGACAGTGCTTGTTCTCTGGCGATTATGAGGGTGTCTGGGACGGGGAGCTTGGCCAGGCCTTCACCTTAGGCTGGGGTCCCGCCTCCTCCCATCTGTCCTCTGCCCCCAGGGAGAAGCGACAGTTTTCCTATTGTGATGCACAAACTCACAGGGGAGACAGTGGGGACCCTTCCCTGAGGGAAGATCAACCCCTGTCTTCTTCCGGAGCCCAAGTCGAGATTGCGTTTGCTGGTCTCCTGGGCAGCTCTGCCCCTGGCCATCAGGCTGGGCTCTCAGGGACCTGCCTCATTTCTCACGGCATCCGGGCCGGTCTCTGCTGCCGGGCGGGAGGGTTACAGACAGCTCGGGACTCACACCTGCTTCCGCCAGGTCCTGTCTTCTCCCTGGGGTCAGGTAGAGCATGTGCACCACCAAGGTGGGCCAGGGGGCTCCGGGGGCTCCCCTTCTGTGTGTCCTGTTAGAACCAGGGGGCGAGGCCCCGTCTGACCCGTCACCCACGTTCCCTGCACCAAAGGGGGCTCCTGCTTCCTCACGCCCCAAACTCTGCACCTCGGTATGGGGGCCTCTCCCCCACCATAGGCGACCCCACTCGTTGCTTCTCCCTCCCTGTTGCCCCGCCTTCCCAGCAGGGTGGGCACAACATTGTGCACAGACCTCCGTGTCCCAGAAAGCTTTTTCCCCACGCCAGGGCCATCCCCGCAAGTGGTGGCAGGTGGCCTCGGAGCCCAGCGCAGTGTCCTCTGCTGCAGTCCACCCTCGCGTGGGGTTGCGATGCGGCCCGGGCGGGGGTGGGTCTCCTGATCCCAGGCTTCAGGGACGCACCAGCAACCAAGCTCTGAACCCACGCAGACAGCTATGCCGTCTGCCTCCCTTATTCCCTTAAGTTACAGTGGCTTCCTGGGGCAGCCCCATGGCTGCCGTGACCGTGTGGCCACCAGCCAATCTGGCAGTCAAGCCCCCGGGACACTAAGCTGGCATCCAGCCTGCGTCAGCTGCAGGACCCTGGGTGCTGCCGGCGTGAGTAGCTCGGCTTTCCCACACGGGCCTGCAAGGGCCACCCTGACGTGGCTCCGGCACAAGGACCCTGGCCTTCATGTCCCGGCACCTTTTCTGGGCCCAGGCACAGCGCTCCGGGGTGTCCTCAAATCGGGGGTCCCCACGACCCTACAGGCCACGTTCCCGGGCACTCATCGGGCGGGCAGGAGGATGTTCTGAGCCTGCCCCTCGCCCTTTCCTCGGGCGGCCACCTGCTGGTGCCTGGGCGCCACCCTCAGAGTCTCACGGGCTGTCTGGATCTTGCTTTGCAGCGGCGAGGCACTCATCTCCAATTCAGGAAATTACTTTTCGCAGTGCCAAGCTCTGCTGAACAAAATCACCTCTGTGAACCCTCAGACGGAGATTGACGGGCTTCGGAACATCTGGATCGTAAAGCCCGCGGCCAGGTCCCGGGGCCGAGGTGAGTCCCAAGCTGGGCGCCCTGCGGGGACAGCCAGCTGTGGCGGCGGGGGTGCTGGGCCCCAGGCTCCCTGGGGGGCTCAGGACTCGCGGGTCCCGGGGAGCGGGCGTCCCAGTGACCCTGGTGTTCATGGCTGCTGTTCCAAGTTTTGCTAAGTAATTAGGATTAATTAGGAAGTTCCGTCTCTAGTCCTCAGGTAGACTGTCTGTAGTTTTCTTTTAAGTATTTGCTTTGCTCGCCAGCTGCTGCAACGGAGCGAGGACTCCGCATCCAGCAGCAGTGGGGGCCTGGGCCCAGAGGCACTGGCCTCTTGCAGGCACATCCTGAGTGCCCTGTGAGCTCTGTCCCTGGTGACCCCGGCTCTCCTTTCTACTTCTTGCGTCACGGCTATGACCGTGCCCTTTGCTTTATTCCTGATGGTGAATACTGTGGGTTCTTCATTTCAAAACAGGATTTCAAGGTGATTTTCCCATCTTATGAGTGTTTCCAAAGAACCAACTTTTGGTTGCATGTTTTCAATTTTCCTGTTCCCTCTTGGTGCTGACTTAAATGCTAAGCTTATTTATTCCCAAACATCCTTGTGCAACAGCAGAAGCTTTCAGGCTATGGAAACGTCCTCCGAATACAGCCTTCCCTGCGTCCTCTTGTTTATGTTATATGCTGTTCTCTTTTTCCTGAGTATCTAAATAGACCTTACCTTTTGTTTGCATATTATATTTGCCCCTTGAGTTATTTGACGGGTTTTACTGTTGCTGTAAATTCATAAGTGGTTACTTTCTATGTGATTTTTTAAAAACCTTTATTAATTTGTGACATTCCTGCATTCGGTCCTGAATATCCTGCATCCAGGATGTCCTGAAACATTCTCTTTCCTGAGTTTCTGCCTGCTCTCAGCAAGCACCCTCCTGGGCCGGGCCAGTGTCCCGCCCTGGGCTCCCAGACCTTCCGCCCACTGCCGACGCTGCATCCCCGGGGACGTTCCACAGACACCTCAAACCCACCTGTTCAAAACCGAGCGCACGCCATTGTGCCTGGTCACCGGCTATGCTCCCACCGCCTGGCCCCCAACCCAGTGCCCCCGTCTGCTCTTGGCCCAGGGGTGTGCAGCTTCGTTCTGGACTTTGGTCTCAAGATGGCAAGGTGTCCACTTGCTGTAACTGAAGAGCGGGGTCCTGTGTTTTGTGAGGAAAGCTCCCTCGTGCCCCACGCTGTCACTGCCCCTGGGCCTCGCAAGTGGCACCCCGCCCCCCCCGTGCCGGCCAAGAGAGCCAGACCGCCCCGCATCTCGGCCTCTCCTCACGCTTGTCCAAGGCAGGTTGGCAGGGAGGATGGCGAGTCCCCCCACCATCTTGTGACACAGTTCAGGCTTCCGGGGTGTCACGGCAGGGGAAAA